CCTGTGCGATTGTATTTTTGACACAAAATGCATAATAAATTAATCTACTTTAATGTAACTAGTGCAAATAACAATATGTTCTTATTTCATTCCAAGGATTGTTTGGTGATACTGAGATTAGAGGATATGTTGAATTGCGATGGATTTGAATATTTAAATAAGTTAAAGTTTATTTATTTATTTATTTTTTTAAAAATGAAAAATATATAGTAATACATTATAAAAAAATGAATATGGTTTCAAACCAATTAGAACTACTAAATATTTACATAAAAAAAATTAGCTTATTGCAAAGTAAAAACATGAACAAAACCAGTGTTTATGATTTGTTAGATATTGTTCGAAATTACAAGGTTGTGATGCTAATAAATTCTATTCTTTTTGGAATTCTCTTCACTATGAAGTAAGTTGATGTCTATGGCATAGTAATTTAAATGTATCAATTTGATAAGCGACAGCCTAAATTAAAATGTTATAAAAAAAATAAGTAATTTTAAAATATAAATTAGTATAGAAATACATACCTTTTTTATAATAATGAAGCATAGAAGATCCAAACAGGGACGATTGAATTTATAAAGGTAATTTCTTTTTAGAAATCTCCAATATGATTCAATCACTATCGTAGTACATAAAATGCCAATATCATCAAATAATGATCGTGCCCAAAAGCACCACTATTTTTGAGAATACCATTCGCACCAGAGATATGCCCATATCATGATTAAATTATTATTATAACAATATGTGTACATTTCTGTAATACATTCAACCCAGATTACATCTTTATCATTTATAAATATCTTGTCTTCTTTAGGTATAAGCATGTGCTAGTTAAAATGTTTTGTTATAAGATGTTTTATTTGTGTATGAATTTCTTATTAGCAAGTTGGCTTGAATTATTTACATTTGTTTGATTTATTTCATTAAATATAATTAGTTGCCACAAAGAATCTATTATAGGATATTGTTCATGTGCTTCAATTGAATTATATCTTACTATTTGCATTTTTGTATGTGATGATAGTTTTTGTTCTATTGCACGCTTAATATACCACAACATAACTGTATCTTTACGTTAATCCAAGTAGCCTTTGCTGCATTAATTTGTGACATGTCCTTATCTGTATAAAATATGCCTATATTAACCAATCTTTTTGCTTTTAACATTAAAAACCATGTTGTAAGAATTCCTGTAATATTGCGATTTCTATTAGGTGATATAAATAAATAAGAGATAGGGAACCCTGAGCCATCAATAATCACCATGGCCCCATATAATTCATATTTACTCTTATTGGTATTATACGTCACATCTACCATAAAGTCTATTAAATTGCCTAATGGCAAAATATCAAGAAACACAGTTACAAAAGCAAATGCATGTTCCTTAAAAAAAAGAAGTTCCTGGTTTTGTTTTTGAAGATATAATCTTACAGAAGTGAGCTCATCGTCAGAAGATCGATATTCTGCCTGTGCCATTTTTGACTACCAGTGATGCACCTGCTTAATCGTTAAAGACTCATATCCTTTTATATGTTGATCTTTAATTAATTGATAGATCTCAGGGACGTTTTGTCGAATACAAGTGTTAATATAATCTTTTATTTCCTTTGTTACATTGAATTTTTCAGGCCGTGAATGCAGAAGATCATGAGACATCTTAACGAATATAATATTATTCTTGGAGTTAACTTTAATTACAACCACACCTTTACAATTATAGCGTTCGATAAATGCTTCAGTACTATATTGCTTTGATATATCATCAACTTTTTTATGATATTTGTGTAATTCATTTCATCATTGCACCAGTATGTAAATATTACAAAATCCCACTTTTTATTATTATATGTTGATTGATGTACATATATATAACTGTCACTATTACTAATTTCGTTAATAACAAGGTTGGCGATGCACAAGTTTCTATGGTGCAGGAAGTCTTAACTCTCTGATATAATAGATGATCTTTAAAATCTATTAACTCCTTAAAAAATTAAAATT